GTTGGGGGGGGGGGGAGTCCGGCTGACACCCATGGCTACACCGCAGGCACCGCAGCTGTGCCGGGCGCAGGCATCTCACTGGGTGATGGGCACGCTCCCAGCCCACCCCGCCAGGCACTGAGAGAAGTCAGCTCTAACGGCCAGGCCCCAGGAAGGCATCACAGGAGACCCCTCAGGCCAAACCCACCAGACGACACAGAGGAAGACAAGGCAAGTCTAGGAAGCCGGGAAATGGACGGAGGAGGGCGGTGGCCAGGGCTGGGAGCCGGCGACACAAAGTGGCCACGGCTAGGCAGGAGGGCTCTTCCTGGGGTGCCGGCTCCACACGGCTCTGTACACTCTGCAGAAACCACGGAGCGATACTCAAACCAGGCGCCCCTCATTGTATACGGATCACGTCCCGACGCAGGTGTCAAGTGTGGCTGAAGCAGCCTGGGAGAGACAGAAAGGCAAGCCCCCCGCCTCCCAGGAGTCAGATGGTGCGAAGGCCCTGGCCCCCAGCGGGCAGCAGGAGCTCCCGGCCCAGGCACTCACACCCCCCGGGCTTGTTCAGCGACCGCCCCACACGCCGGCCCTCCGGGAGCACAGCCTGGAAGCGCCAGGTGCTCAGGCAGCACTTGTGGAGTGAGAGCGAGCGCGACCCTGGCGCGGGTGGAGGCGGGGGAGCAGGAGACGGAGATCTGCGTTCCCACAGTGAGCCGCGGCAGGAACAGGTGCTCGCCCAGGCTCAGCTGCTGCAGGGGGAGAGGCCAGAGGCCGGGACAGGAAGGAGCCCAGCCGCTCCTAGGTCTCCACCGGGACAAACAGGCAGCAGACGCAGATCCGGGGAGGGGGAGGGTCCCACTCTGCTCCGGCAGGCAGCAACCCGCAGACCCGCCCACCTGCCCACAGACAGCGCTGCCACCTGCCCACAGAGAGCCTGGCACAGGTGGGCCTGGGCGAGGCCCTAGAGACGCCCTGAGCGCCTGTCTGAGGGGAGTCCCTGCAGGCAATGGAGGGGCCTGCTCGGGGGGCACAAGCGGGTGGAGGAAAACCCAGGGGAGGCTCCGATCCGGGGTCCTCACGGGGTACACGCTGAACAAGCCGCACTCTTTCCTTTTCCTAAAGATTCGTCTATTAATCTGAAAGACAGAGAGGGAGGGAGAGACCGCGAACTCTTCCATCTGCTGGTTCACTCCCCAGATAGGCGCAACAGCCAGAACGGGGCCAGGCCGGAGCCTGGAGCCAGGAGCCAGGAGCCAGGAGCTCCATCCGGGTCTCCCTCACAGGTGGCAGGGGTCCAGGCACTTGGGCCACTCTGCTGTTTCCTGGGTACATGAGCAGCAAGCAGCCGGGACTTCAGCAGGAAGTGGCCTATCCCGTGGCGCCCCAACGCCGCCCCAATGAGGAGCTCTCTCAGCCAAGGATCAGAGACCCCTCACTGGCCCCTGCAAAAACAGCTCCTATCTAAGCAGACAGGTGCGCCCGCCGGGCACCTCCACCCGGGCTCCTGGCTTCCCGCCAGCCTGGACCGCGCAGTAACTACCGGGAAGCCGGCACACTTGGGAATCACAGGTGCTGGGAGAGCAAGCTCGGGGCGCACTGGCGTGGGAGATGAAGGCGAGCGGCCCCACGAGCCCACAGCTCCCGGCCCGCGTGGCGGGAAGATGGCCGCGGCCTCCGAAGTCAGTCATGCCTCATAAATGCAGAGACGGAGGCTCTGCCTCTGAAATTCAATTTACTCGGAACGACACGGCCAAGGTAGGGCTTTCTACAGGATTTACTGTGCTTTTCAGATGATAAAGAAGAAAATCTTTAGGCTGGCACCTGTCAGCCGCCCCTAAGAAATCTTCCACCCGCCACTGTACTGATAACCAAGTTACACTGCACCCGGCCACCAGGCTCCGAGGATTCTCCCGGGAAGGTGGAAAGCGACGTGAAACACTCCATGAAATCTGCATTATTTTATTGAACAAGAGAAAGAGGAATCTTTCATCCACTGCCTCACTTCTCAAATGCCTGCGACAGCTGGGGCTGGGCCAGGCTGAAGCCAGGAGCCTGGGACTCCATCTGGGTGTCCCCCAGGGGTGGCAGGCGCCTGGCCGCTGGGGCTGTCACCTGCTGCCTCCCAGGATCTGCTCTGGCAGCAGCAGGAGGCGGGACTCCAACCGAGGCACCCCACCGGGCATCTTAACCACTGCACCTGACGCTGGCCCCCAAAGGAAACCTCCCGCCCTTAGGCAAGTGGCCCTGAGTCAGCCCCTTCGACCCATCTGGGTTTCTCCTTCTGCAATTATCCCGCCGCCCCCAGACCAGAAACTGAACCCAAAGGGGAAGGACCAGGGCTGCCCGAGATCCACGGGCCCGCGCGTGGCCGGGAAGCCCGGTGAGATGGCAGGGGGAACCGGGCGGCCAGGAGTCAGACCTCCTGGCGTCTGCCAGTGCCACATCACGCGTGCTTCCCTGCCCACGCCCACGCCGCGGCTGCGCCTTCTCCACTATTGACAAGTGACAAGTTTCAGGCCTGCTGGATGGCACGGCTCCCTCACACAACGATCCGCATCTAGATAAAAACTCGGTTGCCAAGCAGCTTCCTCTTTGGTGCCAAATAAACTCTGGGGCTCCCCGCGAGCACCATGGACGGTCCCTGGCGTGCGAGGGACCCTGGGCCTTAACCAGGAAGGGGTGCTGCTGCATGGCCTCGCCGTCGGCTCGGGAGGAGGACAGAGGGAGTGACAGGTGACCACGCTGGACGCCAGCCAGCAGGCTGGAGGCCGCAGGCCTGGTTGGGGGTGTGCACGAGGGAGCCCACTCCGCCTCCTGTGCTGCTAATTCTGGGCAGCCCTGCGGCCAGAAAAGGAGAAGGAGCCAAATCCCGAAGGAATCTGTCCCGGTCTTCCACCGCTCCCGGAACGGCTCTCGCAGGGGGCCCTGGGCTGCAGTCTGGGGACTCCCTCTTCTCCAGGGTCCGACTCGGGCCCGGCTGCCCCGCGAGTGGAATGTCTCTCCCCACATCTGCTCCCACGGGGACCACACCTCGCCACGCATCCTCCACCTTACCAGGGCAGCAGGCAAGGCTCAGTGTGGACAGCTGGCCGGGCAGCGGCCCTGGGCCTTCCCTCTGGTACGTATCCAACACAACCTCAAGGGCTCGCTAATCAGAGGGCTTTCAGAAGCGAAACAGAAATAGATGCAGGGCCAAGCCTCCCCCCGCTGCCTTTCACCAAACACGCGCCCCTCTTCCGCCCCGTCTTCTGGGGTGAGGAGGCTGATTTTTAAACATCCATCACGTACATACTACTGAACCGTATGGGGAAGAAACGGAGGATTCAGAGCAAAGACCCCTTTCTCCTGCAGGATATAAAAATCACCCCAAGACACACAAACAGGTGGCTCCGCCTGTGCTGCCCCCTGGAAGGTGGGCTCTCCCAGAAGATATGGGGGAGGGGGCTCCGTCCCGGCTGGAACCCAACCCAAGGGCCCAAGGCCGAGAGGTTCTGGCCCCGGTGTCACACGGCCGCCGAAGGCCCCGGCCGAGCTTCTGGGTCCTGGCAACCACATCCCAGACCCCAAGCCGCCGAGCTGGCTCCCCCCTCCCCAGGCCGGCGCTCGGGTTTGCGAGCCTCGGGTACCCAGGAGACGCGCCCTGGGGTAAGGGTGGCCTGCGAGAAAGACGCGGAGTTGGCAGAGGGAAGCCCCCCAACCCCTGCTCCGGCTCGTGGCAGCAGCTGGGCGCGCGATGGGGGGGGGGGTGCAGGGCTCTCCCCAAAAGGTGGGCCGCGGGGACCGCGACGTGCGCGCGCGTTACCCGCAGCCAAACGTTCGTAAATGAGGCTGTGGGACTAGGAGGAAGGGTCTCCTGCGGACCCCACCAGCACCACCAGAACCACCCCCGCCTCTCACACCAAGCTGACTGCGAGGGGGCGGCGGCGGCCGGTGAACGCCATCCTCTCGGTGGAATCGCGCCGGGGCGCGGGAGCGGGGGCCGCGCCGGAGACCCGCAGAGCCGGAGACCCGCGACCGCGGAGCGCGCCCCCTTCACCCCGGGACCACCGGGTCCCACGAGCCGCAGCAGCCCGGGAGGAAGCACTTGTTGAACCGAGAGAGGCTGCGGAGGCTCCCGCCTGCGCCGTCGTCGGCCTCCGGGCCGGCACTCGGGGACGCCGGCCGCGGTGCGGGCACCGCGCAACCCTGCACGCCAGAGGCGGCGCGCCCGCAGCCCAAACTTTCTGGAATCTCCTCGCTCCGCCGTGAAGTTCGAGCCGGGAGAAAGGCACAAACACGCGCAGGGAGGGGACGCTGGGGCCGCGCCCACGGTCGGCGGGGAGGAGGGGAGCTGATCGGGTTAGCGCAGACCTACTACGTGCACGGCTCAGCGCGGTCTGCGGAGCGCACCACTACCGCGAGGCGGAGGCTGCCCCATTCGAGAGAGAAACAGAGGGCGGCGGGTCCGGCCCGGGTCGCGGCGCAGGCGAGGCCGGGCGAGGAGGGCGCAGCTCGGAGCTGCGCGGGCCCCCACCCCGGCCGCGGCGCACCGGCGACCCTCGCGGGCCGTGCGGTTCTGCGCCCCGGCGGGGTGGCTCCCGGGGCCCACGAGGCCCGAGCCGGCCTCGCTGTCCTCCCCGGCTCCCGAGCTCCGCACTGCGCCGACCGATAGGGCCCGGGGGCCCGGCGCCCTGGGCCTGGCCGCCCACGCCCACCCCGCCACCCCAGCGCCGCTTGCACACCACAGCGGCCCCGCCACGCATCTCCATAAACGCAGTCGGAAATGTGCACCCCCCCCAACCGCACACACGGATGCCCACGAGGACACGCCATTCCCGAGACGCCTCGGTCCGCGGCGGGCACCCCCAACTCCACGGCGCGGGGAAACGCTCGCACACACAGAGCCGCACACGCGTGCACACGCGTGCGCACACATGTACACACACGCGCGCGCGCACACACACACGCACTGAGGGGGCCCGATCGCAGCGCGCGCCGGCTCACACGCCCGCAGCCCCGCAGCCGCCCCTTCTTACCGGCTCCGGCGCAGGACCCGGTCCGCAGGCTTCCCGAGCCCAAGTTCGGCCCCGCGGGCCGCTGCCTGGGGCGAGCGCCGAGGCCGGAGGGAGCTAGGAGCGCCCGCGTCCGTGAGCCCGCAGCCGCCGCGCCGGCCCTGCGCTCATCGCCACGCACAAAGACAAAAGGGAGCGGGCAGCCAGCGAGCGAGCGAGTGCAGACGCCGCCGGCCCGCGTCCGCCGCCCGCCGCCGGGAAGGAAGGGACGCGAAGGCGGGACCCGCAGGCGGGGGCCGGGGCGGGGCGCAGCGGGGGCGGGCGCGCAAGTTTCCTGCGGGCCCGCCCCCGCGCGGCCACGCCCCCCGCGCGGCCCCCGGCCCGCTCCCCGCCCAGCCCGGGCTCCGCCGGTCCCCGGCGCGCCGGGGCTGCGGGGCGGGGCGGGCTGCGGCCGGTCCCGCCTCCCTGACCCTTGGCCTCCGGCCTGCGGGCGAGGAGAGGTCGGGAGGCGGCCCCGGGAGGGGCCCGCCCGCCTCCGCAGGAAGTGCAGCCGGGCGGCCTGCCCCGGGGAAGACGCCGGAGCCGCCGCCGGCCCCTGGCACCGGCCCGGGTCCCGCGAGCAGGTGCCCGCCGCCGCCCCGCGCGAGACCGGCTGCGGTTCTGGCTCGCTGGGCCTGCAGCCCGCACGGGGAAGGGTCCGGCTGGGGGGCGGGGGTCTTCGGGCTCCTTTGCTGGGGAGGGGGCTTGGCCGACATCCCGTGCTGGCCGGGCTGCTTGCTGGGTGTCGGGGCGAGGCGGGCAATACTCCCTCCATCCAGTGCGGGGGCACCTGCCGCGACCCCCACCCCAGGCCCCCAGGACAGGTAACCACAGAAACGGCCGGCGGCGGCGCCGGGTCCTGGCGTCGCCAGGGAGAAGCTCGGCGCCGCCCCCACCAGAAACGCGGGCTGCGGGGAGGCACTGCAGGGGGCGTCGGCCCTCTCCCCCTCCCTCGCCCTCGCCGCAGCGCCCCGTGCGGGCCCACACCTCGAAGGAGACGGGCTCCTGGCAGCCCCGGGCTGCGGGGGATGCAGTGGGGCGCCCGCAGCCGCAGCGCCCTGCCTGCCCGCGTGCGTGGCGGAGACCAGTGGGCCGAGGCCGCGTGCGGCTGCTGGTGGCGCATCCGCGCGGAGGGAGGGTGGGCCAACAGGTGGGAGGCAGCCAGGCGACTGCAAAAGCGGGCATCAGCCGGTGGGGGTGGGGGGTGCTGTGCCTTGGTCACCTGGAAGCGCCCAGGGCTCACCCAGCTCGCGGCTGGTCCTGAATGCCAAGGCGGCACACGGGCTGGTGTCTAGGGTGTCCGGAGCTGGCACCAGTTCTTTTGCTTGGCCTTGTGGCCGGCTTGTGGCACAGCCAGTGGTGAGTCCACTGCCTGCCACGCGGGCATCCCCAGCTGCGAACCGGCTGGAGGCCTGGCTGCTTAGCTTCCGATCCAGCTTCCCCTGGGAAAGTAGCCGGACAGCCCAAGCACTGGGCGTCTGCCACCCCACCTGGGAACCCTGGATGGGCTTCCTGGCTCCTGGCTTTGGCCTGGCCCTACGCTGCTTTTTGCAGTCATTTGAGGAGTGAACCAGCAGATGGACCCGAGAGAGATGGGGTCCAGGGGTCAGTCAGAGCCAGGCCTGGAGGTGGCACTCAGTACTCTGCCACGAGTATTGGTGAGAGTTTGCCGCACAGCCCCGGCTGGATGCGAGGGGCCTGGGACAAAACTGAGCCAGTTTGGGGAACACACAGCAGGGATCTGCCCAGACACTGGCGCCATCCCACAGCGACAGCAGGCTGCATGAGCGTGGGCGTCACCGCCCGGGCCTGTGCGGTGCCGTTGGCTCACGGGCAGAGGTCAGTTTGTGGAGGAGGTGACCGTGTCCCAGGGTCTTGCAGGATGAGCAGGGGTCCCCGGTGGCGTAGGAGAAGTGCATGACACAGGTGGGAGGTGGGATCGTAGGTGGCGCAGCTCGGGGGAGCTCAGGCAGGTGGAGGGGTGTTCTGGAGCAGCCTGCTCTCCGTCCCAACGTTGCCCACGCTGCCCACGCACCTGCACAGGTTCTCTCCCAGCTCTGCTTGCAATTCCAGCTTCCTGCTGATGCGCACCCTGAGAGGCGGCAGGTGATGGCTCATCCTTGGGTCCCTGCCACCCACATGGGAGACCCAGCAGGAGTTCCTGACTCCTGGCTTTGGCCTGGTTCCTGGCTATTGCAGGCATTTGAGCATTGAACCAGTAAGTGGAAGAGACCTGCCTCTCTCTCTCTCTCTTTCTCTCTTTCCTTTTCCTCCTCCTCCTTTTTCTCCCTCCCAAATACATTTTAACCAAAGAAATAATTTTTTTCTAAATCCCGGTCCAGCTCTCACCTTGCCCAACTCCTCAGTCCACGCGCATGTCTCTTTGCTGAACCTGTAGAGAAACGCATCACAAACCTCACGATTCGGGCGTGAGTCTCTCCGGTGACTGGCAGGTTGGTGTCTTCCTTTCTGTCCCCACTGCTCCTTCAGGACGGCCAAGTGCGCCTCCTGCAGCTCGGTGGACGGAGGGCGCAGGACTGACCCGAGAAGGACTTGGGAATTTACGGAACTAGCGCAAGTGAGAAAGCGAATTCAGAGCAGGCACTGCGCGCCTGTCCCACAGCTGCTGTCCCAGAAAGGGGCCCTGCAAGCAGAAATACGCAGTCACGGCTCCGGGGGCCCCAGATCATCGGGGCAGTGAATCCCACTAGGGTGGGGGTGGAGCTGACGCCGGTGGCTGGGCCATGGGGCCACCTGGCTTCCAGCCATGGCGGCGGGGGCTGGAGCCTAGGATTTCTTTATTTGAAAGGCAGAGAGAGAAAGAGGGAGAGAGCTTCTAGCTGCTGGTTCACTCCCTAAACGGCTGCAACAACCCAGGCTGGGCCAACCCAAGCCAGGAGCTCCACCCAGGTCTCCCATGTGGGCGGCAGGGGCCCAAGTGCCGGGGTCATCTTCCGCTGCCCTCCCGGTGCAGTAGCAGGGAGCTGGCTTGGAAGGTCAGCTGTGACTGCAACCAGCTCTCTCGTATGCGGGTGTCCCAAGTGTGTCTTTCCCTGCTGTGCCACAGGGCTGACCCCAAACCTCGTTTCTATAGCGACACCATCATGTTTTGTCAGGGTGTGCCCCGTGACCTCATCCTAACTTGATTCTCAGCGAAGACCCAGTTTCCAAATGAGGTCGCACTGGTGAGTAGCGGGAGCCAGGGCGTCAGTGTCTTTGGGGAAGAGCAGTGCGACGCCGCAGGTGGCTCGGTACGTGTGCGGTTTGTCTTCTCTGTGATTCCCTGAAACACCTAGGCAGAACGAACTCACCGCGCCCGGCGCCGTGGAGTAGTGGGTAAAGCCGTGTGCTGGCATCCCATGGGGGCGCCATTTGAGTCCTGGCTGCTCCGCTTACGACCCAGCTCCCTGCTAATGCACCTGGGAAAGCAGTGGAAGATGGCCCAAGGGCTTGGGCCCCTGCACCCATGTGGGAGACCTGGAGGAAGCTCCTGGCTTCAGATTGGCTCAGCTCTAGCCGTTGCTGCCATTTGGGGAGTGACCCTCTCGCTCTATAACTCTGCCTTTCAAATAAATAAATAAATCTTTTTAAAAAAAGAGAATAATATTCTTAATATATTCTTAATAATATTCTTAACATCTTAGTCTTAAGATTTTTTAAAAGTATTTATTTATTTATTAAAGAAGCAAAGTCACAGACCCAGAGGAGCTGCCACCTGCTGGCTCTCTCCCCGGATGCCCTCAAAGCCAGGACCGAGCCAAGCCAAAGCCAGGAGCTGGGAATTCAACCCGGGCTCTCAGATGTCCCGGAACCACCCCCTGGAGTCATCGCCTGCTACTCCAGGGCCTGCCTGCACTGGAGACGCTGCGTTAGCCAGAGCCAGGAATGAAACCCAGGCGCTCCCACGTGGGCACGGCTGTCCCCACGGCCTGAGGCGCTCCCACGTGGGCACGGCTGTCCCCACGGCCTGAGGCGCTCCCACGTGGGCACGGCTGTCCCCGCGACCTGAGGCGCTCCCACGTGGGCACGGCTGTCCCCGCGGCCTGAGGCACTCTCACGTGGGCACGCTGTCCCCACGGCCTGAGGCACTCCCACGTGAGTGTGGGTGTCCCCACGGCCTGAGGCACTCCCACGTGGGCACGGCTGTCCCCACGGCCTGAGGCACTCCCACGTGAGTATGGGTGTCCCCACGGCCTGTGGCACTCCCACGTGGGCGCAGTGTCCCCACGGCCTGAGGCACTCCCACGTGGGCGCAGTGTCCCCACAGCCTGTGTCACTCCCACGTGGGCGTGGGCGTCCCCACAGCCTGGCCAATGCCACCCTGAGGCTGTGTGGTTTTTCTCATTTTTATTGTGTAGAAATACACATAACATAAAATGTGTCATCTTAATCCTTTAAAGTGTACAGCTCAGTGGTAACTAACAAATTCATAAGGTATTTGTGTATTATTATAATACAACCATCACCACCATCTATCCCATAACCCTTTTATCTTGTGAAACTAAAGTTGTTTTGTTTTCCTAAAGATTTATTCATTTGGAAATCAGAGTCACAGAGAGAGAGAGAGAAATCTTCCATCTTCTTGTTCATTCATCAGTTGGCCGCAACGGCCAGTGCTGGGCCAGGCTGAAGCCAGGAGCCAGGACCTTCTTCCGGGTCTCCCCTGTGGGTGCAGGGACCCAAGCACTTGGGCCATCTTCCACTGCTTTTCACGGTCCATTAGCAGGGAAGTATACTGGACATGGAGGAGCTAGGACTCAAACCGGGGCCCGGATGGGATGCCGGTGCTGCATTCACGGTGTTAGATGTTACGCCACGAAGCCGCCCCCGGGAACCTGAAACCCTACAGCTACTAAATAATAAGGCCCCGGGCCAGCGCTGTGGTGCAGCTGTTAAGCCCCAGCCTGCAGTGCCTGTATCCCATATGAGCCCCAGTTCAAGTCCCAGCTGCTCCACTTCTGATCCAGCTCTTGCTGTGGCCCGGGAGGGCAGTGGAAGATGCCCAAGTGCAGGGCCCCTGCACCCACGTGGGAGACCTGGAAGAAGCTCCTGGCTCCCGGCTCCGGCCTGGCCCAGCCCCGGCCATTGCAGCCGTCTGGGGAGTGAGCCAGGGGATGGAAGACGTCTCTCTCTGACTCTGCTCCTCGCCCTCTAACTCTGTAAGTGGAATCCCACAGTATTTGTCCTTTTGTGACTGGCTTGTTGGTTACACTTAGCATAACCTCCCGAGAGTCCTCCGTGCTGCCGCGAGTCAGAATCTCCCTCCTTTCTGAGGTCTGGCGATGCCGCGTTGCGTGTTCCTCGCCGTCTGCTTGTCCACTCCTCTGTGAGGGACACGGGCTGCTTCCCCACCGTAGCTGTTGTGGGAGTGCTGCTGACTCAAGTGTGCACAAACATTGAGTCTGTGTTTCATTTCTCTGGGGTGTGCACCAGAGAGGGACTGGCCACTCCTATGGGAAAGTTGTCTTCGTTTTTTTGAGGAAGCTCACGCTCTGTCCCACCGTGGCTGTAGCATTTTGCGTCCCCACCAGCTGCGTCCAGCGGCTCCACTTCGTCCAGATCGTCACCGGCACTGTCACTGCTTGTTTCTGGTGGCCGCTGTCCTAGTGGGCGGGAGAGGGGATGTCACTGAAATCCCGATTACTAAGCCTGTGTCTGTGCACTTAGTGGTTATTTGTGTATCGTATTTGGGAAATACTCAAGGCCTTTGCCTGCTCTTTAACTGGGTTGGTCGTTTTGTTGTTGATGTTTTAAAGTTCTCTCCGGAGCCTGCACTGTGGCACAGTAGGTTAATCCTCCCCCTGCAGTGCGGCATCCCCTCTGGGCACCGGTTCACGTCCCGGCCGCTCCTCTTCTGATCCAGCTCTCTGCTGTGGCCTGGGAAAGCAGTGGAGGATGGCCCAAGGGCTTGGGCCCCTGCACCTGTGTGGGAGACCTGGAAGAAGCTCCTGGCTCCTGGCTTAGGATCGGCCCAGCCCTGGCCATTGCAGCCATTTGGAGAGTGAACCAGAGGATGGAAGACCTTTCTCTCTGTCTCTCCCTCTCTCTGTCTGTAACTCTACCTCTCAAATGAGTAAATAAAATCTTTTTTTAAAAAAAGTTCTCTCCGCATCCTGGATACTAATCTCATCAGATATATGATTTGCAAATATTTCCTCCCATTCTTTGGGTTGCCTTTTTACACGGTTGGTTTTGTCTTTCAGTGTACAATTTTTGAAAATTTTTTCATGAAATCTATTTTTCACTTTGCTGCCTGTGCCTTTGACGTCACATCCTATGAATCATGGCCAAATCCAGTGCCACGAAGCTTTTGCTTTGTTTTCTTCCAAAAGTGGTCGTTTTAGGCCTTCCACTCAGGTCCTTGTTCATTGGAGCTTGGTGTTTGTCTAGGGCGTGAGGAAGGGTCCAGCTGCATTGTTCTGCTTGTAGATTTCTGGTTTTCCCAGCACCGTTCGTTCATTGGAAAGACAGTCTTCTGCCGCACAGTGGTCATGGCACTTCTGCAGGACAGCGTTTGACCAAACACGCCCAGTTTATCTCTGCACTGTTCCCCACCGTTGTGTCAGCCGCTGTCTGGATTCCTGTAGCCTTGTGGTGAGTTTGGAAATCAGGAAGTGTGGGTCCTGTAGCCTTGTTCTTTTTCAAGATCTCGGCTGTGCGGGCTGCCTGGGGATTCCCTGGGACCTCAGACGCGTCTGTTTCTGTGCCTGGCGTGGGTGGGGTTCTGTGCTTTCTCCGTCATTTTATTTGCCCATTTTGCAGGTAAGGGAACCTGTGCTTCGAGGGAGGAATGAGAGTCAGCGACAGGCGGGTCTCACAGCTGCACCTGCCCAGGTGTTGCAAAAAGTAGTGTTTTGTTCTTGTATGTTGCTAGTGGCACTTCCCGGGCCCAAGTGGGTGCCCTGCTGGGGAGGCTGGGGCCCCCAGCCTGTCTCCCCCACGCATCTCTCTCCCGGTTTTCTTTGTAATTACAGAGCGGGGAGATGGGCTGCCAGGAATAGAGTGGGCGAGGCCTTGGCGGGCGGGAGTGGCCCCTCTGGCTGCCTGCCCTTCCCCTGACACTTCCCCAGGCACTGGTGGGCAGAAGCCGCGGAGGGCTTCCTGCAGCGCTGGCAGGCAGAGCCCCGAGCCGGCTGAAGAGGGGAAGTGAGAGCTGTGCCCCGGATGCGGCCTCGGATGGCGGGTGGGTCCCGGCTGGGCACCGGGGTCCGGGACCACCTTGTTTGGCTGCGTGGGGGGCTGCTCCCGATGTACGTGCTGTGGCCCGTGGAGGGAGCAGGGAGTCCGGTTCTAAGGGGTCCCCTTCCCGGCTCTATCGCTGCGAGCTCCAGGGGCCCGAGAGAAGTCGAAGTGTCCCTGTTGCCTTGCTAGGGGCTCACTGGTACCCCCTCCCCGTGCCAGACTCAGACGTTGAAACCTTAACTCCCAAGGGGACTGATTGGAGCCTGGTTAGGCTGTACTTGCGGCTGAATGAGTCACAAGCCCTGATCCAAAGGCCCGGAGATCCACACAGAGGAGAGGCAGCTCTCGCTCCCCGCGTGAGCAAAGGCACAGAGCAGAGGGTGGCCGACGACCAAGCAGGACGCGGGCCCTTAGCGGAGTCAGCGCCAGCTGCCCCCACGCCCACCACGATGGCATTTGCTCCCGCAGCCCCCAGCACAAGACATAGGCCGTGCTCGCTGTGTTACTTCTTCCATCCCCTGCTACCGCTCTCTAACCCCCGGGACCCTGCCCTTCGTGGACAGAAGGGTGCAGGAGGTTCTGGGCTTTGTGCAAGAAAGAATTCAGGGCCGGCGCCGCAGCTCACTAGGCTAATCCTCCACCTTGCGGCGCCGGCACACCGGGTTCTAGTCCCAGTCAGGGTGCCAGATTCTGTCCCGGTTGCTCCTCTTCCAGGCCAGCTCTCTACTGTGGCCCGGGAGTGCAGTGGAGGATGGCCCAAGTGCTTGGGCCCTGCACCCCATGGGAGACCAGGAGAAGCACCTGGTTCCTGCTTTCGGATCAGTGCGGGGCGCCGGCCACGGCGGCCATTGGAGGGCGAACCAACGGCAAAGGAAGAGCTTTCTCTCTGTCTCTCTCTCTCACTGTCCACTCTGCCTGTAAAAAAAAAAAAAAAAAAAAAAATTCGGACTTGCAACAGAGAGTAGCCATGGTGAAGCCAGCCATGCGTGGTGAGCCATCCGCACAAAAATTCCCACTTTTCTTCCGAAAGGATCCCCGTTTTCTCCGGCCCCTCATGCAGGCATAGGCTAAGGTCTGCTGGCTACCGAACAGCCCTGGGGCTTTGAGGGCCTGGCTGTGGGCCCTGAGAAGTTCCTTGCCCCCATGCCCCACTTCTAGAACCCCTCTGGCCAGCCTGGGTTGGGGGGGACAGCGCGTGGCTGAGAGAGGGACAGGTTCACTCGGCGTGGGCTCCTCTCTCCGCCATCACCAACAGCGCACGTGAGTACTGAGGGAACGGGCCCAGCCCCTTCTCTAAGGTGGACAACTGGACCTGCCTCGTGGGGAGGTGGAGAGGCTTGAGTGAGCTAACACCGGATGCTTCCAGAAAGAGAAGCTGCCCCTCCCCCTTCGCTCCTCCCCCCCCCCCCACTTTATCAGTCCAGAACGTTATCTTTAGTAACCGCAATGGAGCCCTAAGCCAGGGTTCCGTGTCCTAATTCATGACGTGTGGACGTTAGGGTGGCAGGTGCTCCCGGGGAGCGCTGGCTCGGCCGTTCTTGTCATCGTTCGAGAAGGATCTCAGACGTGAGACGGGGAGGCTCGGTGAGTGTGCCAGCCAAGTCTAATGAAGAGGGCACACCCTGCAGGTCAGGGGGGCGTCTCGGGAAAGAGCGGAGAGCCCAGTCCACATTCAGCCTGGAGTTTTTATGGACGCTGGGTGTGGGCCCTCCGTTTCTCCTCCCCTACATCCTTTCTGGGAGGTTGCGGGGCGGAGGGCTTTCCAGGTGGGGAATCCCTTCCAGAACCTCCATCAGCCCCCTTGATGACGGGCAGGTGACAGTCCCCTAAGCTGCCCCCAGGGAGAGGGCTGGGACGCACCCCACCAGGTTATCAAACAACGACGAGACTCGGGTATATAAATGCTGGTTTGCGTCTAGGGCTTGCTTCCTGGTTGTATCACACGGAAATTCCTGTTTTTCTTGGTTCACACAGCTCCTGTCTCCATAGCTACCCTAACATCACCTCCAGCATCCTGTGTTTCAGCCGTGCCGGGGGAACGGCACCTTACCCCACGGAGCACGGGTCGGCCTGGGTGCTCCGCCCTTGGGTTCAGAGGAGCAGATCAGAGACGCGGTGGGGCAGACGTGGCTTCGTAATCCGGGACACGTGCACTCCAGTGACCGCCGTGTTGATCTTGTAGCTGCGGCCCTGCAGAGAGACCCCCGAGTTGGGATTTACCCGTGTGGTCTTGCTGATTGCACAGCTGGGTAGAGGGGCCCCAGGGCTGACCGCTGGTTGCCCAGTGTGGGAGGTGGCTCTGCACGTCGCCCTGACATTTCCGTGTCTGGTCCGGCTGCAGGACTTCTCATGCAAAAGCAGCTGGGACCGGACACCACTGCTTTCGTGTCCCGCTCCGCCCCGGGGGCTTCTCGCCTGCCCAGGGCTGGAGAGCTGCGTCTCTCTCCCGAGACACACTCGCACCTCTGCCGTGATGTGGGGTGGACGTGAAAACCCTGCGGCCTCGCAGGTCTCTCGTCTTGCAGCTCAACACTGACCGAACCCCAACAGATGGACAACACAGTGCTCGAGAGTAGTTGTACATTTCCTGGTAGGCCCGGTTTTAAACATGAAAAGACACAAGGGACATTAATTTTAATCATGCATTTGGTTTCTGTATGTACTATGATTCATCATTCAATGTCTAATCAATGTAGAAATTATGGAAGGATTTTTTAAATGATGATGCTGGGACAGAAACATCCGTGGCTTATTTATTTATTTATTTATTTATTTTGTTGTACCTGCGTGAGTGCACACAGCGGAGCGCCACACACTGAGCCAAGGTGCCCGTCCTTTGTTGCCGGCGGCCGAGAGTGGGCTCATGCCCTCGAGAGCTCTCGACCCCGAAGCCCAAAGCAACAGGGGATTTAAAGGCAAAACCCACAAACTCAGGAGGGGAACACGTGGTTACCGGGGTCAAGCTGACCTAAAACCTATGCGAAATTAATATCAATTATAATCTTGACGATACCAGTTACAATCTCAATATTAATTAGAATCTTGACATTAATCCACATATTGGTTTTAATCCTGTGTAGGACGTAGACAAATTGCATTTTATCATTAACCCAGGGCAGCCTATCGGCTTCCAGGCTTGAGCAGTCACGCTAGGGGGTTCTCTGCTCTGCCGAGTGTGATGCAGTTTGCTGCTGCTGTCCGAGAGTCTCAGACCAGAGTCTCATGGGGGGGGGGGTGCGTTTTCAAGATGGAGTCTCAGGTGCTCCAAAATGGAGAGAGAAATTGAGAGAGGAAAGAGAGGGCTCTCATCTACGGTTCACTCCCCAAATGCCCACATTGGTTGGGGTTGGGCCTGAACTGAGGCCGGAACCAGGAGCCCAGTCCAGGTCTCCCATGTGGGTAGCACAAGCCCAAGGACTTGAGCCATAACTGCTGCCTCCCAGGGTCTGCGCTGGAAGGAAGCTGGAGTCAGGAGCCGGAGCTGGGAATTGAATCCAGCCCCTTTCGTGTGGGCTGTGGTACCCCAACCGCGAGCCAAGCACACCCGCCGTGAGTGAGGTGTTTGTGTTCTTGTCTTCCACTTCAGCTCCTTGGAATTCAGTTCTAACTCACAACGATCTCTGGGCTGAGCTGCAGCTCAGGCATACGGGCCAGTGGGCCGCAAGCTTCGGGGACCCCAGAGTCCCTGGAATGACGTTAGATACTGACGCTGGACCCACGCCGAGATTCCGACTCGGTGGGTCTGGAGCGTAGCCCGGGAGCTTGCACCTCTGGCAGAGTTCTGTGCGACGCTGACGCGGCTGGTGCAGGGACCGGGCGAGAGTCCTCTGGAGCGAAAGAACCCAGCTAAGATGTGGGGAAGGGTTGGGGCACTTCACCAAGGAGGACAGACAAGGGGCTGTGGACAGTGCAAACTACAAGAAAAAAATTACGCATGAATTTCACAATTTTCTTGCACCGAAGTAAGCTAATCTCTTAATTCCACTTTCTGTGAGCATTTCGAAGCACTCCCGTTTAAATGACCAACAAGCGCTTGGAAAGAAGTTCAGCGCCATTAGTCGTTGGGAAATGCAAGCTGCAACCTCAGGCGGGTACCGCTTCCCATCACCAGGATGGCAGGAATCAAAGCGAAGAGCAGGCACAGCTGTCGGCGAAGGTGTGGAGAAACCGGAGCCCACGTACATCGCTGCTGGGAGTATAAAGCGGTGCTTTGGCTGTGGAATACGGTAGAGCAGTTCTTCAGATTTTTTTATTTGAAAGGCAGAGTTACAGAGAGAGGGGGAGAAACAGAGTGAGAGATCTTCCATATGCTGGTTCACTCCCCAGATGGCCACAACAGGGCTGGGCTGGTCTGAAGCCAGGAGCCAGGAGCTTCATCAGGGTCTCCCACGTGGGTGCAGGGGCCCAAGCACCCGGGCCATCGTCTGCTGCTTTCCCAGGTGCATTAGCAGGAATTAGGTGGGTCAGAAGTGGAGCAGCTGGGACTTGAACCGGTGCCGGTACGAGATGCCGGTGCCGCAGATGGTGGCTTTACTTGCTACACCACGGCACCAGCCCCAGGTCTTCAGAATTTAAATGTAGAGGTTACCATGTGACCCACTCCTAGGTGGAGACACAAGAAAACTGGAATAGGTTTTCGTACAAAAATTTACACACGCAGACTGGTAACAGCCATGTTCATCAGGCCTCCAAGGTGGGACCAGCGCCCAAGTCCACCAGCTGACGAGCGGATAAACCAGACGTGGCCCATGCAGCCAGCAGGCCCGGGTCAGCCACAGAGGAAGTGAACCGCCGATGCGTGCTGCCGCGTGTTGAACCGCAAAGATGCCACGCCACGTGACAGGAGCCACGCACAAAAGGCCACGGATGGCGTGACGTCACCCATCTGCCGCATCCCGCATCGGCAACGGCACAGCGACTGAGTCAGTCTGTGGCTGCCAGGGGCTGGCAGTGCAGGAGAGGAGTGTGGCTGCTGGTGGGTGCGGTGATGGGCTGGGAATCAGATGGTGGCGACAGGTGCGCGGCTCTCTGTGCAGAATGAAACCTGAACCGCACACCTGAAATAGATAAATGCTGAGACTGGAGAGCCAGGCTCCCGCCGCGGACCACGCTGCCCAGATGCCAGGTGGGAGGCAGCTCCTACGCCGACTGCTACGTCGGGTGCTCCCTCCACCCCGCCTCTGGCTCGTGGAGCTGCGCTTGCCGAACTACTGCAAGCACACAGTGTTTTTAAAAATTTATTTATTTTGGCCGGCGCTGCGGCTCACTAGGCTAATCCTCTGCCTGCGGTGCCGGCATCCTGGGTTCTAGTCCCAGTCGGGGTGCTGGATTCTGTCCCGGTTGCCCCTCTTCCAGGCCAGCTCTCTGCTGTGGCCCGGGAGTGCAGTGGAGGATGGCCCAAGTGCTTGGGCCCTGCACCCCATGGGAGACCAGGAGAAGCACCTGGCTCCTGCCTTCGGATCAGCGTGGTGCGCCGGCCACAGCGGCCATTGGAGGGTGAACCAACGGCAAAGGAAGACCTTTCTCTCTGTCTCTCTCTCTCTCTCACTGTCCACTCTGCCTGTCAAAAAAAATAAAAATTAAAAAATGTATTTATTTTTATTTGAAAGGCAGAGTTACTGAGAGAGGAGAGACACAGAGAGAGAGAGAGAGGTCTTCCATCCGCTGCTTTACTCCCCAGAGGGCTGCAACAGCCAAGGCAGGGCCAGGAGCCAGGAGCTTCAGCCAGGTCTCCCACGTGGGGGCAGGGCCCAAGCACCTGGGCCATCCTCCACTGCCTTCCCAGGAGCCTTAGCAGGGAGCTGGGTCAGAAGGGGAGCGGCTGGGACTTGACCCAGCACCATATGGGGTGCCGGCGTCACAGCTTAACCCACAGCGCCACACACAGGCCCCGGCAGGCCAAGTCCTTTTGTAAAGTGAATGGGGAATCTCACAAAAGAAAAAGAGCCAAGTGGCCAACACGCCTGTGAAAGATGCTCAGCCCCTTCTGGGGCCGAGAACGGGAGACCCCATTTCCCACGCGAGCACCAGGAACGGGGTGGGGTGCGGGGAGAGGGGACCCCACGTAGGGGAGGAGGGTGAACCTGGGCCATCACTTCAGAGACGATTTGAGCTGGCGGAGAGCTGGGGCGGCCCCTGCCCTCGGCCGCACCTGCCCTTCTCGGAACAGGACTACAAAGAGCTCAGGGACGATGAGATCAAAAGGTGTTTACTTTGGTGACAAAGTTTTTGAAATGCAGGCACAGTGTTTTGTAGTAAGTGTTTTTCCTGAAGTTTTTGGAGTATCCTGCAGAGGCAGCTCTCGGCGCCGGTGGAGCCAGCCGAAGCAGCCTCAGGCAGGGGGCCCGACAAGGTTGGGTCCCAGGCAGTAGCCGGTCCCAGGAGGAAGAGCGCGCGGCTCAGGCGGCTGTGAAGGGCCAGGTCTCTCCAGTAGTGTCAGTGACGTCATCGCGAAACTCCCAGCAAGGAAAGGCTGGGGTGCGGAGGCATTGCCATGTCACACATGTGGACAGACATCAGAAGGGACAGCCAGAGACGCTCAGCTCCAGCAAGATGGGTGGGAGAGAGAGAGATGGAGTGGGGAGAGAGTTGAAAGCCTCCTGGCGTGGGGGAGGAAGCAGACGGCTTGGGGGCAGTGGGGCTTCTATGGCCACTCGCAGCCCTGCCCCCAAGGGGAGGCCCCTGCGGCTCTGCAGGCTACAGGACGCACCAAGCGCCCGTCCCTGCCCAACAGATGTCCCCCACAGGGGGCAGGACCTTGCAGCAGGTGCAAGGTTGCCAGGGCCTGCCACGAGGCAGAGTGAGGGTGCCGGGGGCAAGCAGTGTCCCTGACGACACCAGCGCCCAGCGCACCTGCTGTCGTGGCCAACCCGACAGCCTCCCCAGCAGCAGCTGGGATGACTCATCACCAGTGGAAACCTTCCCAAGTGGGAAAAGCCGCCTTGCCTGGGGTTTACCAGTCCCCAGGAATGGGCCACATCAGAGAGACAGCCAGTCTGGGGGTACTGAGGCCCAGGCTCCTTTGCAGGACGCCTCTGGAGGTTACCCCAAGCTCAGGGTCCCAGGGGGCTGGTGAGACGCTGTAGCAGCCTCTGTCCCGGGCACCTTGCTTACCACACAGGTGCATCCCGAGGACATCCACGACAAGCCGCCTGCTTGCAAAGGTCACCCCCAAATCTGCTCCCCAGGGACCCAACCTAAAGTCCGAGGGGTCTGGACTGGAGTCAAGACTCCCCTGTGGTTAGGAGCTGAGCTGTGTGGAACAATTGCGGGCGAGTAGCAGAGGCTTGGAAAACCCCGGCTTCGCGAGGTGGAGGCTACATCTGTTCGCCTGTGGCTGTAGCCCAGGGCAGGAGTCATCGGTGGCACAGAAAGCAGAGAGGGGGCTGCCGGGGCCGTGGGGACCGGCTGAAAGGGCACGAGGAACTGGGGCTGATGGGGAGGTTCTGCGTCTTGGTTGCGATGACAGCTGCATGGCATACGTCTGTCAGATTGCATTGAACTGTGCACTTTACATGAGTTCATTTTAGTTTGTGTAAATTGCAGCTTAGTAAATTTGCTTCTAAAGTGTTTAGAATCGCGTGGGTGTTTAGCCTGGCAGTAAGATGCCGGGTTCCGCGTCGCAGTGGCGGGGTTCAGTTGCAGCTCTACCTCGGCCTCCAGCTTCCTGCTAAGGCAGACCCTGGGAGGCAGCGCTGATGGCTGGAGTGACTGGGCTCCTGCCTCCTGGCTCCCAGCTCTGGCCCCAGCGGGAGCGACGGCAGGAACTTGGGAAGTGAACCGTCAAGTGAGAGCTCTCTCTATCTCTGACTCTCAAATTAATTAATCAAATAAATAAATAAACACAGTAAGCGAGGCAGGGAGTCCAGGAATAACATGGCAGCTCCAGGAGCCAGGCCCCAGCCTCGTTTTCTCTCTCGCTTAGCCGTTGTTTCCCAAAGTCTCGTCATGGCCCGGAATGGCTGTGAACGCTGTAGCGCTGACCTCCTTAGCCCCAGTGGGGGGAAGAGCTGCCACCCCTCCCTCTAAAGCGATGGCAAGTGCCACACAACCTCACTCACACCGCACTGGGCAGAACCCAGAAACCTGGACACCCGAGATCCCGGCAGCCGAAGGAAGGAACTGGGAATTCGGTTTTTAAGGAGCAGGAGGAAAAGGTGCATGGGGCCGTTCTCAGGACGGGAGGAAGATTTCCGTGGCAAAGTGGCTGAAATAAGAGGTGTGTGTGCGTGGTGGTGGCGGGGGGGGCCTCGAGGGCTGACGCATGGAGGCCTTCGGGCTCTGCCAGGGGGTGCCGGGCCAGAACCAGGGCCCATGGCTGCACGGACGCTGTGACAGCAGGTGCAGGTCTGCAGAGGCCCCACGGCCATCTCCCACACCATCTCCTTTTCGTTAGAAGATTCTGGCCTCCCAGGTGGGGGGAGGGGCAGGAAGTGATTCTAATGTGTGTGGGGTTTCTTTCCGGGGTGATGCAACCTGGTGGACTTTATTGTGACAGGGGTGTAACTGAATAGACGGGCGACTGTTGAAATGCAAGCGCTAAATGGGTGGGTTCTGTAGCGTGTGAATCCCAGCTCAAAGAAGCCGTTACACAGTTTTTTCCCCGTGTAACAGCTCACCCAGACGGTTTCCCTGCACACACGTTGTCCTTCCTCCCTCCTCCACCTGGAAACCCATACAGAGGCTCTACGGGAGCCTTTGGGGAAGATGTCGGCCTGTGGGGCCGTGGGGAGAGCGATCGGGAGGTGACTGTGCAGAGAGCACGGACTGGTGCAGTCTGTCCACAGGCCGCTCGCTGTCAGGGCTCTGTGTGGGCAGCAAACATGGCGGCTTGGAAACAGCGTCTTCCCGCAACATGAGAACACAGCTTCCCAACACAAAGCACAGCCTTGACTGCGAACAGCCTTGCTGTTTCACACTGCTGCGTTGATCCGGGGTCTGAAACACACGCAGCGGCACAGCAGCTCCGATGCCGTGGGGACGCCTGTGTCCCGTCCGGCACTGCCTGTGTTCTGGTTCCAGGTCTGCTCCTAGCCAGCTTCCTGCCAATGCACACCCAGAGGGTGTGGCTCAGCACCCGGGTCCCTGCCACCCAGGTGGGAGACCTGGACGGAGTTCCTGGCTCCTGGCTTCAGCCCGGTCCAGCCCCGGCTGTTGCAGGTTTTGGGGAGCAAGCCAACGGATGGACGAGATCTCCCTCCCCCTCCCCCATTCCTGCCTTTCAAATACGTAAGAAATAAAAAGGATAAACAAACACTACAGTAAAGGAGCATTTTTCTGAACGGTGCGATTTTTTGGTGCCTTTTCCGTTGTGCGTGGGTGTGGCAGCCACAGCCGCCTGGCCCTCCCCCTCTGCGCTTGGGCAGGGAGAGCTCGATACCGGTGTTGTGTTATGAACTCCGTATTTGCCCGTCTAACAGGCGAGCTCCCGGGGGCCGGGGACTTGTCTGATTTCCCCGTCTCTGCACAGGAGCTGGCCAGGCTGTGACGGGGGACACGAGCACTTGCTGAGGTCGTGACCCAGCCCCCACCCCCTGGAGTCCTCAGCTCTTGTCGCTTCCACGGTGAAACAGCAGAGCCCAGGAATCCGGAGCCCACGCCGCCCCTCGGCTTCCAGAAAAAGAGGCAGAAACGTGGCCTTGGCTACAGTTTCTCCTCCAGGGAAGGCTGCGAGGGGCCTGCTCGTCTCCCTGGGTGGCTGGGCAGCACCCCGTCCTGCCTCAGGGAGAAAGAGGCCCCTCTGTCCCTGGGGTTCAGATCGGCAGCCAGCAGACTCCCCAGCTTGGAGGTGACCCCCACCCTCCCAGGTGCCCAGGTCTGGAGGGCCCAGCAGGCTCTGGGGACTGGGGTCTCAATATCCGTCCACAGCAGGTGCAGTGGAGGGAGGCAAGACCCCTCCTAGCCACAGGTGAGCGAGTGACAGTCACCCTGGGACAGGAGCATCCAGCGCCCTCACCCCACCCAAGCTGCTGTCCCTCTGCCTCACCCCTGCAGGCTCCCAGGTGCTCCCAGGTGCTGGGAGCCTGGGGGCTGGTTTCGGCCAGGGAATCCCTCCCGGGCGCTAGGTGGGGATGTTGATGCCAGGTTTGCTCCAGGGTCTCCCCGTCCTGACCTGGGGAAGACAGGAGACACCACAAGCCATCCCGACTCCTCAACCCAGCTCCCCGCTTCCTGGTGGCTATGGAGGCAGGACCCTCCACCCTCCCCAGCCCCACACAGCCAGGGGCAGGGGTGACTGGCTCGTGCCACTTCCACCAGCCACACATGGGCTGTGAGTCTGAAACCCCACCCCTGGCCCCGGGCAGGCCCTCGGGCACAACCTGAAGCCCCTCCTTCCTGTCTGCAGGCAGGGGTCTAGCGCCAGGCACGTCATGTGCCCTCCTCTTCAAACGCCCAGCTCCCCTGCAAGTCTGTTTCCAGCTTCCAGGGGGTGGGGGAAGCCGCCCTTTTGCAGGTGTCTTGGGGCACAAACATGGTCCCGTGTCAAGTGTTCCCGCCGGAAAGGTGGGACCTGAGGAAGGTGCCACGGCTGGGGTGGGACGGTCCTGAGGGTGACAGGAACCTGCTTCTGGCCGGGCTCAGTGCGCGGGCTGGCATACGTCTTGTGGCCTTGTTTTCTCAATCTTGTTTTTTTGTTTTGTTTTGTTTTGTTTTTGTTTTTGTTTTTGTTTTTGTTTTTGTTTTTGACAGGCAGAGTGGACAGAGAGAGAAACAGAGAGAAAGGTCTTCCTTTGCCGTTGGTTCACCCTCCAATGGCCGCCGCGGCTGGCGCACCACGCCTATCCAAAGGCAGGAACCAGGTGCTTCTCCTGGTCTCCCATGGGGTGCAGGGCCCAAGCACTTGGGCTATCCTCCACTGCACTCCCTGGCCACAGCAGAGGGCTGGCCTGGAAGAGGGGCAACCAGGACAGAATCCGGCAGCCTGACCGGGACTAGAACCTGGTGTGCCGGCGCCGCAGGCAGAGATTAGCCTAGTGAGCCATGGCGCCCGCCCTCAACCTTGTTTTCTCAACCCAAATCAGGACGC